CTTTTCCCTCTACCAGTGAATTTAAGTTAGAAAAGAATTGTTTAATGGTTAAAAATGGTTAAAAATAGTTTTGGCTTTAGTGTTAACGTTGAAAAGTGTCCCAATAATCGATAGCTTGGGCCGCATATAGTGAAGTACGCTATAGAAGCGCTATAGAAGCGCTAAGATTCTTTTGACGCTATCTGTTGCTATCCATCTACAGGATTCGAGAAAAGTATCGTCGCGTCTCTTTGGAACTAACTTTTATGCGATTTAAAAGTAAACGTTGTGTTGTGTAAAACGTGGATTTTGTCTAGTTTTTTCTTTTTCCGGTTTTTTTTCCTCTTTCGAATGGTGCATAGCATTCAATGTGTATTTTTAGAAATGCAAGCTTGCCCTCATCGAGAAGCGATCGCTATGCTTTTGAAAGCGATCGCTATGCTTTTGAAGGCGATCGCTATGCTTTTGAAGGCGATCGCTATGCTTTTGAAGGCGATCGCTATGCTTTTGAAGGCGATCGCTATGCTTTTGAAGGCGATCGCTATGCTTTTGAAGGCGATCGCTATGCTTTGAAGGCGATCGCTATGCTTTTGAAGGCGATCGCTATGCTTTTGAAGGCGATCGCTATGCTTTTGAAGGCGATCGCTATGCTTTTGAAGGCGATCGCTATGCTTTTGAAAGCGATCGCTATGCTTTTGAAAGAGTCGAAGGCAGCCATCTCGCGAAAGCTCAAAACCAACATGTATAGAACTATAGAAGTACGCAATTTGAAGCCCCGAAACTCGGTTTGAAACGTCTTTTTCTAAGGTCTCATTGTGATTTTCGGAATTAACGCATAAAAAAACCCTAGAAAAAGTGGTTTTGAAAAAAATTACCCTAGAAAAAGTTCGGTTTGGCGGATCTACCTGTGGCCAAAAAGTTCCCCCGCCCAAACTGCCCTAATACCACCCCATTTATTTGTTATTTGTTATTTGTTATTTGTTATTTGTTTTGGTTTGTTTGGTTACTGGTATTTGTTTTTTAACGAATTACGTTTCATTTTCTCTTTTCATTTCGTTTCTCTTTTCTTTTCGTTTCGCAATTCGTAGTGTGCTATCCAGGACGGCTAATTTTTAAAGTCGCACTATCTAATAACCGATAAACGTAAAGTTATCAAGCTAAGCGAAAATGAACGGTCGTTCCTGGGGTTGTGTTTGTAAGGAATGGCTGGTTGAGAGAGGACGGTGTGGGTGGTCTTCCCTTCCTATCGAGGCCCCCCGAGAAAGAGCAATGGGGAAAAGAAAGAAATGCGGGGAGAGGCGCGGCAATAAAAAAGCCAGCGCACAGCCATCCCAGCGTCTCTCACCAAAAAATTTTTCCTCTATTTTTCTCTATTCTGCGCTTTTTGATGGATCCTGTGCACTCCAGCATTTCTCGAGAATCTCTCCGTGTTGCCCGTTCGAAAAAAATGAGGCCGAGGATCGAGCCGACTCTCTTTTTCTTTTTAACCTCTCATTTGAACCCTCTCTACGACCAGAACTTCCTCTTTGGCAAGGGGAACGCCTCCTTTTCGCCGTTTTCGCAACGAGAAATGCAACAAAATATTTCTGGAAGGGAAAGAGTGTAAAGCCAAACGCAACCTACTGAAGGAAATCGAAAGAATCGATTTCTCAAAGCTGAAGATTTTGAGTGAAAATCTTGCTCCCATCAGGGTTTAGTGGCATAAAACTTTACAGAATCGTTTTCCTGGATGTCACACTAGATTTTGGTGGTTAGACGAATTCCGAAAACAATGATTCGAGTTTGACAAGGATTTGTCGGAGAAAATGAAATGAAATGTCCGTCTCAGCTCTAGGTACTAGCATAAAGCTGACAAAAGGAAGTTTTTCTGGATGTTGTATAGAGATTTGAAGTCGGCCTGTTCAAAGCCCTGTTCAAAAGGCAAATCGAACAAATTGTCGACTTTTCAAATGGGTGTTGGTAGAGCGCGTTCGCTTCTTATGAGCTAGTCGATATCCTCCGCATTTCCATCATTAACCTTGTCGTTAATCTTGTCGAGAAGCGTCAGAGCATAATTCGAAATTGCCACCACATTGATTCACATTTTTAAGGGTAATTGAAGATGGTTATTCATAAAAACACGATCGAATCATTTTGACACCGTCTAAAGAAGTCGAGCAAAGTAAAGGAACCTTTGAGGCTCCTGTCATCATACATTGTTTGCTCATTCATTCAGTCGTTTGCGAAAACGATAGAGAAATTTTTTTCAGATTATTTTCCAGGCAATTAAGATATATTTTAAGTGGCCGTTGTTTGTTGATCATGTATTATTAGGTTGACAACTTGTAAAAAATGTAACATGTTTGGCAACATGTAAAATTGTTGTCGAGATTTGACAAAAGGTAACCATGGAGACACGGTAACACTTAGAAGTTACAGTAATCGGCCTTATTCATTCCTCTGCACCCTTGGTTTCTTTATCATATCGATTCTTATCCATCTAAGAGATCTTTGGACTACTGCTGACCAAATCATGGGCCTCTGTCGGGCAATGGAGAGGAGAGTTGCCTTGTCAACAGAAAGAGATGAGGAGGAGTGGCTGAATGAATAAGCGAATGGAAAAGCGGGAGCACGGCCGGGCAAGGGGCAAAAAATGTAGTGTGGTGTGGTTGAGGAGGCCTCAATCTCTTCGTTCCATTGCTTGGCTGGTCCAGCCTAGTACCGCCACGTCTGATTAGGCTCCTCTCTCCCCCACTCTCTTAGTTCTGCGATATACCCCTATCCGTCCCTCTTCCCGCCCAGCACGCGATCAATAGTTTATGTTTGTGAATTTGGGCTCTCCTGCCCCTCTTCTCCCTTTCTCTGTCTCTCTTTCAATCATTTGATCCTTTTTTTCTGAGCAAAGATGTAAATAGAGTTGTGCTTTGATCTGGGTCCCATGGAAACTGGGGATTCTGTTTTTTGGGGATCTTGGAACGCAGGCAACATTCTCGAATCGATTCGGAGCGTTTCGGGGAAAAAATGAAACTTTTCAAAGCTGAGGTGGTGAACTGTTGGCTCTATATTTTTGAGATATAGAACAGTGATCGATAAGTTTTTATTTTTAAAGACCAATCTGGAATGCACAGAATACTTTGAGCTATCTAGAATACTAAAAATCTGGTATTAATTTTATATGGAAATTTCCCATGCAACCCGAAGCCCATGTCAAAGTACAGAGTTACCAAAAAACTATTACAATTGAGATTGTTACAAGAGTACTGTTACAAGAGTACTGTTACAATCATTTGAACAGCTACAGTGCACTCCAGCTTACACTTTTTACAAGATAATTTCTCGATTAACTATTTCAGTCGAGGAGCAGTTAGCCGATTCGCCGCCGCTGCTAGCCCCGAAGCCTGTCTTGCCCTTGACCGCCGCGTTGATGAATGGGATGTCCGCCATGTCACTGTAAGTATTTAAACTTTTAAAAAAAACATTGATTAAGTGATTTTACGCATAAGCTAAAGGCTAAAAGAGCTAAATAAGCTCTTTGAGATCATTGAGAGGAGTCTGACAGAAAATCTCCCGTTTTCGACTTCAAATCTAAGTTTAAGCCTCGAATACCTTTATCCTGGAGTGCACACTATAGTTTAAGAGCCTTTATTCGATCTGTTATCTGTTATCAAATATCCGTTCCAGCTGCGCACAGCCCAGTGTTCTCTAGGGGAAAAGGCAACAGACGAAAATCGGAACTCTGACTGAATGGAGAAGGGAAAGGAAAGAGTGGGGAGCAACTGGGGTAAACAGAAATCCACAAATACAAAGGGAAAAGGACTCGATGGGTGGTCCTTTTTCTCTCATTTTTTTTTGACTTTTTATCGCCATCTTCCCCGATACGAAAACGATTAAAAAAGTAACGATTTTGGGAAAAGAGAAAAGGGAAAAGGAAAAGAGTAAATTTCTTTTCCCTTTTTTCTTTTGGCTTTTTTTTGGGGAACACGGACAGCCTCATTGCTTGAAAAAGATAGTGGAAAGGGGGGACGGAGAATCGGGGATGAGGGGACTTTCAAATATAGAAAATGGAAATGGAGATGGGAATGGAGGAAATGGAAAAGTTCTGGTTGATTGAAAAGTTTGAGATCTTGGGTTTAGTTTGAGTTTGTTGGGAGAGATGTGAGGGCGATTGAACGAGAAGTAGTTGGGTGACTGAATTGCTCGGCATCCAGATATCTCGGTGTATAGAGATTCTTGTTTACTTCGCCATCAATTTCCATTAGAATTTAGTTGCCGTCATTTTCTGGTGTAGCTACACCGGGAAAGTACGGTAACTAAATTTTCTATCTCCTATGTAGCTCACATATCTTTAGACAAAAGCAAAAGCCTACTGGTAATCGAGAATCTAGAATCTGACTGCTTCAGACACTAGAAAGTACAGAGAAAGAGAAAGAGAAAGAGAAGAGAGATGGGGGAGAGATGAATGAACAGTGTGCAGGGATTAGAGTGATATCTAGAGATCTAGAAAAGTTGGGAGAGAACGGCGGGGATTCAAGGAGTTCTGGAGGACACAGAGAAAGATGGGAAGACGGTGGGAGAGAGAGACACTCTTCGACTTAAAAAGTGACCAGTAAACACTTTTCCGTTTTCTTTCCATTTCAGGGGTTGGCTTTAAATCGAGCGAGTGAAGGATTGGAATTGAAATGGAAATGAAATAAAGGGATTACAGTAGAGTGCCAGGGAGTGGCTGTGAAACAAAGCTGGTGGGGGCCAACAAAAAACATTATCGACAGCCTGTCATTATTAGCATTTTAACTGCTTTTTTTTTGACATCCAGCTTGCTCATTTCTCTTTGAAACTTTTGAATTCCGATAAGGGTTGGCGAGAAAAACGCGTGAACTTCGGGTCAGCGTTGAAATGAAACAGAAAATGTTAAGAAGCCAGAAAATGACAGAAATTTCAGTGTGTAGACGTCGAAATGCGCCGCAAGTTGATGTCTAAACAGATCAAATTGAGGAGGACACAGGGCAAGGAACGAGATCGAGGATTGCTACAGGATACAACGGATGGACAACAAATTGAAACAAATCACAATTATGGAGGCGATGGGAAGAATGGTAAGAATCGTGGGCTCAAGCAGAGAACACAGCACATCTAAGTCTAGCCTTAAATCGAAAGTTTATTTTTCATTATCGGTCAATCATTAGCATTTTCTGTACCTGTTTTCTGTACCTATTTTCTGTTTCTGTCTCCCCCAAATGCCTTAATACCGCCCCATTTACCCAGCTAGTATTTGTTTTTTTAACGAATTACGTTTAATTTTCTCTTTTCTAGAAACTCAACCAAGCGGAGACTGACTTGCCACAAACGGGAGAGGTGCTCACCATTTTGCGATTGGCTTCGAGCCAGATCTCCAGAAGATCTACATCATCGATTTTGGATTGAGTCGCCAGTTTGCGTGAGTTTTAAAATGTTGCTGATCTTGAAAAAGCAACGAGTACGAGGTGTTGGGTTTTTGAAGCTATTCAATATCAAAGATTAAATTCGAGACGTGACTAAGCGGACAAATATTGGTGTGGAACATGGAGAACATGTGGAAAACCCGATGGCATCGCGGTGCAATTAAAATGTTAAACAAGAGAGTGCAATACCTAAAACTTGTCGAGCATAAGCATAATCAAGGCTTTCAATCATCGTTGAATGATTTTGGAAGCATAAGCAAGGCTTTCAATCGTTGTTGAATGATTTTGGAAGCATAAGCAAGGCTTTCAATCGTTGTTGAATGATTTTGGAAGCATAAGCAAGGCTTTCAATCGTTGTTGAATGATTTTGGAAGCATAAGCAAGGCTTTCAATCATTGTTGAATGGTTTTGGAAGCATAAGCAAGGCTTTCAAGCATCGTTGAATGATTTTGGAAGCATAAGCAAGGCTTTCAATCATTGTCGAATGATTTTTATGCATTGAAAGCGCTTTCCTAAGATGTTCATACCGTTTTCAGCTGGATACTTTTATGTTTTTCATTGTTTAACGTGTTTTTTACTGCCCTTTATCAAATTTGGAAGAAAGTTGATTGAAATTTTAGCAGTATCCAACTAAAATACTAAGAGAATACTTGATATTCTAGATTCTTTGAAGTAATAGAGTGTTAGATGCATTTGAATACTTGTTTTAGTAGATGAAATCATCATTTTGCTAGATAGTTCATAGCTAAAAACACGATTAGATTCAAATAATCGAATATTACTTTAGAGTGGCTATTTGCATCGCGATCTGAAGCCATCAAATTTTGCGATTGGCTTCGAGCCAGATTTCCACAAGATCTACATCATCGATTTTGGTTTGAGTCGCCAGTTTGCGTGAGTTTTAAAATATTGCTGATCTATTTTCTTTTAGAATCGACGACAAAGAGCTTCGCAACACGACAAAGAGCTTTCGCGTAGTATAGCCCCATTCCGTGAAACAGCTCGTTACGCTTCATTGTATGTTGGGATTATCGTTGTCAATGATCAGGATTTTCTAGGGACGCTCACCGAAACGTGGAACAGAGTCGTCACGATGATTTTGGAGGGATGGCTGTACATGGTGATTGAGTTTACGAGCGGAATGCTACCCTGGGGAAAATTTAAGGTAAAGTTTGTTGAGATGTAGCGATGTTAAGGCCTGGCCAGTGTGAATTTTGACACTTTTATTGTTTTCTCTTTCATAGCAACGAGCACAACAAGATGATAGAGATGAAAGTGGCTTGTCGAAAGGGGGAAAAATTGGAGCAATTGCTGGATGATTGCCCGTTTGAGGCATACTCGAGGTAGTACTTGTGTTTACTTGGCTTTATACACGTTTTTCATTCAGAATCCTCAAATAAATCGACTCGCTCACCTACGTGGACATTCCCGACTACGACTACGTGTGGAAATGCTGGAAATGGTGGAAATGGAAATGCTTGACTTGGCCAAAGAGGTATCGGGTTTTCTTGTTAAGACTTTAAGGCTTAGATCTTTGTTTAATTTAATGAACTAATAGATGTATCGGCGACAAATATAAGTTGTTTTTGCTGCCAATAGCCTCTTGCCATGGTGATAAACTTGTTCGCTTTAGGATAACGGCGTGATGTACATTGATCCGCTCGACTGGGACTTGACGCATTGCTATACGGGACCCAAATATAAGTTGTTTTTGCTGCCAATAGCCTCTTGCCAGGTTATAAACTTGTTCGCTTTAGGATAACGGCGTGATGTACATTGATCCGCTCGACTGGGACTTGATGCATTGCTATACGGGACCCAAATATAAGTTGTTTTTGCTGCCAATAGCCTCTTGCCTTGTTTGCAGTATTGCAAACGCATTGCAAACTGCAAACTTGTTCGCTTTAGGATAACGGCGTGATGTACATTGATCGCGTGATGTGCATCGATCTTACGGCGTGATGTACATTGATCCGCTCGACTGGGACTTGACTGGGACATTGCTACACGGGACCCAAGTACATCCCGGAACGGGGGAAGGTTTGAATGTAGAAATTTTTTAATCTAATCGCTTCTTTAGATTTGATCTGAAATCGAGGATGTGCTTTTATGTGCTTTCCTTTGTTTGTTTTGCTTTGTTTAAGAAAATAAACGTTTATTGCAGTTTGAAGGAAATTTTTGAAACAATTTTTTTTGATGGAAAAAAAAACCCGTTTTGCATTGGTGGAATATTGAAAATATTGAAAAAAAGAAAAGTTGAAAACCCGATAAAATTAGGAAAGTTTTAAGGATTGAATAAATGAGCACTTTGATTTTTAATCGAACTTGGGGGTGGGACAAATGCGACCTTTTTTTTTGCGGACTGCGACTGCGGAAAAGCGTTAAGTTGCGTAGTTTTTGCCTTTTAGCCCAAATTTGACGTGTCAGCGAGGTGTGATTTGTCGAAATTCGGAATCTACGCATACGATTCCCTTCTAGGAATACATTTTTGAAGCTCTACGACCTTTCCTAAGGCCTTTTCCAGCAAAAAAAAAGGTGCGCAAATGTCCAGGTGCGCAAATGTTCAGGTGCGCAAAAAAATGTCGCATTTGTCTCACCCCCATCGAACTTCGATAATTTCTGATCGAACAGCTATCATGCACTCCAGGATTAATAAATTAAATGAAAATTTCACTAGTTTATCGTAATCTTTAGCTATTTAAGGGTACGAAAAGATACGGTAGCTGATCCACTAAGAAATTGAAATGTTTCTATAGCGTGTAAAAAGTTACAGTACCCTTTCTGCACTCTAGAATGATCGAATAGCTGTTTAGAAGGAATATTTGATAAACTATGACAAGAATGATGGCGAGAGAATCACTTCCGAAGCGATCAGCTTTGATTCAACTAATGGCGAAAGAGCATACGGTGAGAGAACAACAGCAAAAAGAGCTTGAGGTGAGAGAATGATTGGGGAAAGGACGAAAGGAGAGAGAACGAGGGGTGACCCGACCATTGGAGTGAGAATAACGGGCGAGAGGGCGAATGGCGAGAGGATCACTGGGGTGAACACCTGAAATGAATGATTGAAATGCATTCAAGCTAAGTTTTGGGTCTACTGCCTTCCAGGATAGCCGATTATGGCTTAGAGTTTGGGTCTCTGTAAACACACGCCTTCTGGCACGCTTGAACTCAGTTGCGCTTGTTTTTTTAGTGTGATGAGAGGGAAATTGGAGAGTTTTTAATATTGTGCTTACTTGTGGTGATAGAATGAACGGTGAGAGGACGAATGGAGATAAAATGAATGGATTGAAGATACCAGGAGAAAGGATGAAAGGATGAAGGACGAGAGGACTGAAAGATGAGATTATTCAGCAATCCGAAAACTTTATTTTCCCTAGTGCCTTCCAGATCTTCAGAAAATCAAACTTTCAAACCGAACCTGAGAATGACGGGCGAGAAAATAAGCGGATTTACGATCAGCGGTGAAAGGACACGAGGCGAGAGAATGACTGGGATGAACACCTGGAAAATGGATAAGCTACAGACCGTCACGTAAATTATCTACCCAAGGCGAGAGAATAATCGGCCCGAGAACGGCTGGCGAGAGAATGACTGGAGAGAAGACGACTGGGGAGAGGACGATGAATGTATTCGACATAATGGCAGAGGCGACTGAAATTCTGATTCTGCCAGATTTTATTTCCTTAATGGCTTGTGTGCGGCCCAGGATTAACACTTTGTTTTGTGGAAAATCGTTTTTCGATTTCTACGCTCACCAATCAACACCGACAACATTGTCGCCAAAAGTGCCTTCTTCAAAAGTTGATTTTTTCAAATTCTAATCTTTTCAAATGCTTATGTGCGTTCCAATTTCGCAGAAAATTCAAAAATTTTTGAATAGAGCTTTGAAGTTGAAAGAGAAATTTGATTGAACAGGAATTTATGAGATTTCTGATGATTTCATGATGTAATCAGTTAGCTTTTCTTCCTTTCTGAAACTCACAAATAAGTGGAGTGTTGACAATAGGCGATAGGACAATGTTTCGCTTGCTTCTTCGGTGCGCTCCGTGTTTCCGGGCCAACTCTGTGACATTCTGTGCACTTACTCGAAGTGCCTTGTCACCGATCTCAAGAATTCTGAAAATTGAAGAATTGAGGCTGAGAAAATGTTGTGTGCGCTCCAGTTTGAAGGATTTTTGCGAAAAAAATGATTTTGTTTTGTCGTAAAGTTGAGAAAAAAAGTGGAGTAGCGCTCCACTATCCTACCTAACTTTTCTATGCTCATTGATCGGAAAACTTTTTCTCGAAAATGTGCAGTGCATTCCAGGTTGAAAGATTTTCAAAGAAAATCGATAGATTTCTTTTTTGGCGAATGAAATAAATGAAGCTCACTCGTTTCTGATCTTTTGATGTTTATCCTCGTCTCGCATCTCAACGAAATTCTTATACTCATCGATTCTCTCTCTATCATGATACGGGCTTTCCTTTCCATACATTATCTCCACTTGTTCTTTCGTCATAAAAGCAAAGCCATCTTTATCAAGAGCGGATTTCTGAAAAAAAGGGACTGATTCATTTACATAATCAAAAAGAGGGGAGTGGGACAAATGCGAGCTTTTTTTTGCGCACCCGGACATTTGCGCACTTAGCATTTGCGCACTTTTTCCGCACTTAGCCTATTGGCGCACCTTTTTTCGCGTTTTAAAAAAGCTCTAAAATCTAATATCTAATATTAACCAATTTCTATTCCAAAAGTTGTTTTTCTAGGTAATTTTAGGGCGTAGAATCGAAATTTTGGCATATCAGAGCTTGTGGAAGCGAACGGACGGAGTTATACAAAGAGAAAGATCGAGAATTTTCTGTAATTTGATCTAGCCTTGTCTTTCAGCCTTTGTCTTTCAAATTGGTTCCACACGCTCTGTTATGTCAAAATTTGAATTCCAAACCCTCAAATTACCTAGAAAAACGACTTTTGGAATAGAAATTGGGATACTGGTGACCGACATCTTTTGGTCACCAGTATCCCAATTTTGGTCACCAGTATCCCAATTTTGGTCACCAGTATCCCACTTTTGGTCACCAGTATCCCAATTTTGGTCACCAGTATCCCAATTTTGGTCACCAGTATCCCACTTTTGGTCACCAGTATCCCAATTTTGGTCACCGGTATCCCACTTTTGGTCACCAGTATCCCAATTTTGGTCACCAGTATCCCAATTTTAGTCACCAGTATCCCAATTTTGGCCACCAGTATCCCAATTTTGGCCACCAGTATCCCAATTTTGGTCACCAGTATCCCAAAGAAGTTGATCAGTTGATCATCGATTGGATTCGATCTTAACGCGAAGAAAAGAAGTGAATCAGTCGAAGGATTATCCTGGATAAGATAGCAATCGAATTTATATGTTTCGATCGCGAAATCACCGAGTTGTTACAAAGAAACGCGTGTCGATGTGCTAGATGAAGATGCAGACAAGGAAAGTGATGACTTAAATCTTTTCGATTTTGATATTCTCTTCGATTTTATGGAGGTAGGCTAATTTCCGCCATTTTATTTGCTCAACAGGGTCATTTGCGCAACTCGCCATAACTTTTTTTCTAAGTGATCTTAATCTTTATGATTTTGGTGTCATTTTGTTGCACTTATTCAGATCTACAAAACCAATTTGAAAGACAAAACGGCTAGGTCAAATTACAGAAAATTGTTGATTGAAAATTGTTGACTCTTTGTATAACTCCGTTCGTGGAAGCGATTCCACAAGCTCTGATATGTCAAAATTTCGATTCTACGCCCTCAAATTACCTAGAAAAACAACTTTTAGAATAGAAATTGGTTAATATTAGATATTAGCTTTTAGAGCTTTTTTAAAACGCGAAAAAAGGTGCGCTAATGGGCTGAGTGCGGAAAAAAAGGTGCGCAAATGCTAAGTGTGCAAATGCTAAGTGTGCAAATGCTAAGTGTGCAAATGCTAAGTGTGCAAATGCTAAGTGTGCAAATGCTAAGTGTGCAAATGCTAAGTGTGCAAATGCTAAGTGTGCAAATGCTAAGTGTGCAAATGCTAAGTGTGCAAATGCTAAGTGCGCAAATGCTAAGTGCGCAAATGCTAAGTGCGCAAATGCTAAGTGCGCAAATGCTAAGTGCGCAAATGCTAAGTGCGCAAATGCTAAGTGCGCAAATGCTAAGTGCGCAAATGCTAAGTGCGCAAATGCTAAGTGCGCAAATGCTAAGTGCGCAAATGCTAAGTGCGCAAATGCTAAGTGCGCAAATGCTAAGTGCGCAAATGCTAAGTGCGCAAATGCTAAGTGCGCAAATGCTAAGTGCGCAAATGCTAAGTGCGCAAATGCTAAGTGCGCAAATGCTAAGTGCGCAAATGCTATGTGCGCAAATGCTAAGTGCGCAAATGCTAAGTGCGCAAATGCTAAGTGCGCAAATGCTAAGTGCGCAAATGCTAAGTGCGCAAATGCTAAGTGCGCAAATGCTAAGTGCGCAAATGCTAAGTGCGCAAATGCTAAGTGCGCAAATGCTAAGTGCGCAAATGCTAAGTGCGCAAAAAAAAGCTCGCATTTGTCCCACTCCCAAAAAGAGCTCTAATCTCTATTAGTTTCTTTTTTTTATATGTTTTGGCAATCACAGTAACTGTCTAATCAAAAAAAAACAGACTTTGTTTTGTCTATGTTTTTTTTGTTAGTGTAAAGTGTTTTCTATCGTAGCTAAGAACATTTTCTAAAGAGTGCTCTTTAGAGAAAACTATCGTAATCTGAGTCAGACGATGAGTCGGCTTTTCTCAGTTAATATCTCAATCCTAAAGCTCTCTTTAGCTCTTTAGCTCTTTTCTTTAGCTTTCTTTTCAGATATCACAGATTTTTCGATTCTCTCACCTGTTTATCATCATATTTGTGAGCCATTTTCTCAAACAAATCCACTTTATCACCCTCTTGCTTCCCATACCTGTAATTTCTCTGTATACAATGAAATGTTTATCCTTTTTTTACACCTAATATCTCAATTCTGGATGTCACTTTAGCTTTTGCATGTTTAATTTTACAAAGAGCTTTCAATTTTCTCGACACTCCGAGTCATGATCGACTTTGCGTGCTTTTCTCAGCTTACACAACGCTTCTCTTCCATTTTCTCAATTTATTCCTCAATTCTGGATGTCACTTTAGCTATTCAGCTACTTTCCAACTCACATATCGGTCAAATTTTTCTTGTTGAAGTAGAGCGGTGTACCGTCGGGCGTCTTCAGCGCCGCCTCTTTTGCTGTTTTCTTCGCGAAACGAGCACTCTCCACAGCGTCGCCTACTCCTAAAAGCCGATTTTCAACATTCTAATAGATTAGAATCGTTTTTTTTCTGCAAAAATTCTTTAAATTTCTAAGCTTTTCTGAAACTTTTCGAGATCTGCTCGATTTATCGATTATTTTTAAAATTTTCACAAAAAATCTCAAATCTATCGTGAAATATGGAACGCAGTCGAAAATTTGCATATTTTAGAATTTCAATATTAAGAAATTTTTCAATGGTCAAGTGGATAGCGAGCCAGGTTGACGCGCGATTGATCGAGGGTTCGACTCCCCGCTCAGCTCGATGATTTTGCTTTTTGATTTTTGCTTTGCTTTTTGAATTCCCCTACCCGATGCCTCAACGATGAAATCCATCCAGGCGTCTTGCTCCTTTTTCGTCAACCTTTTCAGCAAGTGCGGTAATGAGAAGAGATTTTCCGTTTTTGATCCGTCCTCATGCATTGAGAAAAGTGACGGGGAAAAGAGATTTACCTGAAATTTACCTTTCCAACGAATTTCCTCAATCTGGAGAATCACAATAGCTGAAAATTTCGAAATAAACAAATTACCATATCGTCTTCTGTTTCGCCTTTTACCAATGAAAAGAAGCGCGGCGAGCCAACGCTAAAAATTTTTTGATTTAACTTCTAAAGCTAGCTATTTCTTTTTCATTAAATTCCCAGCAATTCCCAGCAAATCTGGAAAGCATTTTATTCAAAAAAACAACGAAAAATCAAAGCCCAAGCTCATTTTATCATTTTCAAAAGTCTAGCCACGACTTCGCACTCATTTCTTGCCGACTTTTTGTCGAAATTTGAAAATTCGAAGATTTTTCTTTGTTCTGGAGTACATGCTTTAGTTTCTAAACTAAAAATTTCGAATTTCTCACCGTAAAGTCTTTTTATCGAAATTCGTCATATTTTGTCCACTCAACGACATTCCCAATTTGATCGCCTCTCGGAGAACTTTCAACGGTACACGCACATCCTCAGTGGCTTTCGCTTTCTTTAGCATTTCCTCTTTTTTCTTCAGTTGATCATCCATCTAGAGTACATCATATAACAAAATTTAGACATAAAAAGAGAATTAATCTTTCCTAGTCTCTGATCAGACTCTAGAAAGCTTATTAATCTTTCCCAATCCCTGATCAGACTCTAGAAAGCTTATTAATCTTTCCCAATCCCTGATCAGACTCTAGAAAGCTTATTAATCTTTCCCAATCCCTGATCAGACTCTAGAAAGCTTATTAATCTTTCCCAATCCCTGATCAGACTCTAGAAAGCTTATTAATCTTTCCCAATCCCTGATCAGACTCTAGAAAGCTTATTAATCTTTCCCAATCCCTGATCAGACTCTAGAAAGCTTATTAATCTTTCCCAATCCCTGATCAGACTCTAGAAAGCTTATTAATCTTTCCCAATCCCTGATCAGACTCTAGAAAGCTTATTAATCTTTCCCAATCCCTGATCAGACTCTAGAAAGCTTATTAATCTTTCCCAATCCCTGATCAGACTCTAGAAAGCTTATTAATCTTTCCCAATCCCTGATCAGACTCTAGAAAGCTTATTAATCTTTCCTAGTCCATGATCAGACTCTAGAAAGCTTATTAATCTTTCCCAATCCCTGATCAGACTCTAGAAAGCTTATTAATCTTTCCCAATCCCTGATCAGACTCTAGAAAGCTTATTAATCTTTCCCAATCCCTGATCAGACTCTAGAAAGCTTATTAATCTTTCCCAATCCCCTGATCAGACTCTAGAAAGCTTATTAATCTTTCCCAATCCCTGATCAGACTCTAGAAAGCTTATTAATCTTTCCCAATCCCTGATCAGACTCTAGAAAGCTTATTAATCTTTCCTAGTCCATGATCAGACTCTAGAAAGCTTATTAATCTTTCCCAGTCTCTGATCAGACTCTAGAAAGCTTATTAATCTTTCCCAGTCCCTGATCAGACTCTAGAAAGCTTGTTGCTCTAGCTCTAGAAAAAAGATTCAAATTTTAATTTCTTTGTTGCTGTCGGAATTTATTTTTTTCTATTCATTATTTATCTAATTTTGATTAAAGCAAGTTTTAGTGTGCATTCCAGATAAGGTAAAAACGAAATGTTCTTTTAAATCAGTCTATTCAAAAATGAGCTCCACTCTAGACAAGGTTCTGTAGCAATATGGGACCATAATTTACCATTAACTTACCATTAACTAGTCATAGCCTTTCATTTAGGATTACAGGGACAATAAACAATAGACAATAGGTCTATTACAATAGACTACTGTAAAAGCCGGTAAATCTTTTAGAAAAGCAATGATGACCATTTCGAGTGCTTGTGTCCTCCATCCGTCTTCGAGCTTTGTCGGTGTATTGTCGATCCATGAGCGTAAACGACGCATCATAGCTTTCTGAAAAATAAGGAGAGCTTCTCTTGATTTCCTATCTCAATCATAGAATGAGCACAGCTAATGGAATGAGCAATGAGTCCAGCAATGAGTCCAGCAATGAGTCCTTTTTACCTTTCTTCTTTTTTCCATTCGATCCTCGTCAGCCGTCGTGTGAATGTCGGCTAAGATTTGTTGCCAACTAAAGTATCTTTCATTCAATATTTTTCTAACTTTCACTTGGAATTTTTTGCTTTTCACTTTGTTCTTGAATTTGACTTTGTTTTTAAATTTGACTTTGTTCTTTTGTTTCTAAATTTCACCTGGTTTTCTTCGTTTTTCCCTGGAAGGCTCGAACTCCGCTTGTCATATAGCGAGCAATCTGAAAGATTACTTTTGACAGAAATAGACAAAAGCTGGATCTAGCTTTGATTAATAAGCTTTCTAGAGTCTGTGGAGAGACTAAGAAAGATTAATAAGCTTCCTAGAGTCTGAACAGGGACTAGGAAAGATTAATAAGCTTCCTAGAGTCTGATCAGGGACTAGGAAAGATTAATAAGCCTTCTAGAGTCTGAGGAGAGACTAGGAAAGATTAATAAGCCTTCTAGAGTCTGAGGAGAGACTAGGAAAGATTAATAAGGCTTCTAGAGTCTGAGGAGAGACTAGGAAAGATTAATAAGCCTTCTAGAGTCTGAGGAGAGACTAGGAAAGATTAATAAGGCTTCTAGAGTCTGAGGAGAGACTAGGAAAGATTAATAAGCCTTCTAGAGTCTGAGGAGAGACTAGGAAAGATTAATAAGCCTTCTAGAGTCTGAGGAGAGACTAGGAAAGATTAATAGGCAGAGTTAGGCTCTTATTAGACTCTTCATTTGCTTTCCAGGGAATTTTGAATAAAATCGTCTTGCTTTAAAGGCTTATAACTTTCCCTAAGTTCAATATTATTTCTAACTTTTTATATCATTGTGTAGAGGAGATTTCAGGCTTTTAAATGACTTTAAAAAAGAGCTTTAGAGCTTATTGAAGAGCTTTATTGAATGATTGAGTCAAGGAAAAAGCTGGAGTGTTAAGAGAAACCTGTGCAAATGGTGGCTCATCATAAGCATGATGCAAAGTGTAGCTCGATTGTCTTGTTATCTAAAAAGAGAGTATTGTGCTTTCCAGAGAGCTTTTCATTTTTGAAATACGACATCTGGTTGATGCGATTTTTTTGCTATATAGACTCAAGAAATGTAAAGAGACTTTTTAACAAATATATTGGGTTGGGGTGGCGCCGAAATTTAAAGAAACTTTTTGCACCCATAAAACCTTCTTTAAATACACGTTTTGTTTCATCAAAATGGTCGACTATTTCTTTACAAAATGGCTTTTGAGAGATTCCACAAAGTTTTTCTTTTTTTTGGATTTTATGGATTCCCAAACACAGCTAATCAAAATGACAAAAAGTGCGACTCATTGCTTGAACAGTTTCTTCCACATAAACCTCCTTTTGGTGTTTATATAAAAAAGATCGAGCACACTCAATTACATAAGTTACCAAATTTTCAGGAAAATCCCTCCAACCGTTTACTCTAGATGACAGTTTATCGATTTTGTGAAAAAAATGATCCTTTGTTGAGTTGAGGCGCTGTTTGAGTTCTCTTTTAAATATTATTTTGTAGAGAATTATTGGGTTGTCCAGTTATGAATGCGCGTTTTTACTATTTTGTAAATTTCTCAAGATATCGAACAGATGCATATGAGTGTTATATATCATTCGAAAGCTGAAGATCTCCTCTACATTTTGATATAAAAACCTTTGGAATTTGTTCAGCTTCTGGGCAAATTGACTGCACAAAGGGAGAAGTCGTTTTCGAAAAAAAACCCATTTCAGTTTAGCTATTCCTCAAGTTTTATGCTGTAAAATAACCGCCCAGAAAAGAAAAGAAAAGAAAAGATGCTCTGAAATTGTTATATTTAAAAAAAAAGTTGTATTGATATATCTATTGGCCAAACATCAAACGGTTAGCTCAATTTGAGCGGAGCCAACACTTGATCCAAAGGCACCCTTCCATTTTTTGGCCACCTCTTCTTCTGTGCAGTCAATTTGCCCCAAAAGCTCGACAAATTCAAAAGCTTTTTATATGAAAATGTAGAGGAGATCTTCAGCTTTCGAATAAAACTCATATATATCTTTTTCTTGATTTCGGTATCTTGAGAAATTTACAGAATAGTAAGAAAACGCGCATTCATAACTGGACAACCCAATAGTTACCCTTCTACGGATATCAAACGCATATCATTTGACAAAGTCTGCTATAAGTTTTAGAAATTTCTTTGATTTTCGGCGCCGACTCATTCTCCCCAACCCAATAAATATAAACCTTTCTCGTTTCTCTCTTCATTCTCGCCACTCGAAAAGCGCCTTCCCAACGTAAATTTGGATTATTATAATTGCGGTTTGTCACTAAAATAAATGATTTTCTAAAAATTTCCCTTTTTTTTTTTTTACCTTTTCTTATTTTCTGAAAAGAAATCATTTTTCTTTTCAGCTTTTCTTTTTTTTTTTGGCTTTAGGGAAATTTTGTGAAAATTGTGAAGACGGGAAGAGTGAAATGATGATCGATGATAGGAATGCGGTGTCGTCATCGTCTTCATCGTCGTCGTTGTCATCGTCGTCGTCTTCATCGTCGTCATCGTCTTCATCGTCGAAATGGCGGTGGCTAGAAATTCAAGAAAATATAGCGTCCATTTTTCCATTTAAAAATATAACGTGCTTTCCAGATTGATCGTATTTTCACTCAAATAGAGAATTCGTTGAGTTACAAGAGGAATTTGATAGCTATTCCTTCAAAGGATAGCCTTGAAAATTGTTTTAGGCTTTAACAAATCAACTTTCTAGACGATCTGGATGTCATACTTTGAATTTACGATAAAATTTTTCATTTTTCATGATTTTCGAATATCGATGGAAATACACTGTTCGGGACTGAGTCATTTTCTCGGAAATAAAAACGGTTCCCACTTTTTTTGAAAAACGATTTCTCAATGCTGGCTATCAGGATGTACAGTAGCGGACATAATTTTGGAAACTTTTGCTTTTTTTCCAAAAAAAATATCTTAGTAGAATCTGATTCGGTATGTTTACTAGCGAAAGTATGTAGACCTAAAAAGCACGTAATAATCCATAGACAGAACTGCTGAACTTTTTGAAAACTATTATTTTTAATGCCTATAAACCTAGAGGACATAAATTTGGAAACTTTTAAAAACAACTCTAAATAATGACGTAACAAACCATTAAACTTCTAAATTAAAACGAAAACAAATAAATCAATTCAATACTTTGTGGAAGATCCTTTAGAATCAATAATAGTCTGGCACCGAGCGCTCATCGAAGCGACCAAGTTGTCGATGGCTGTTGTTGGAATTTCCATCCATTTCTTAGCCAAAAGCTCGAATTTTTCATTAAGATTATGGCTTTGAACGCCTGACAGGCTCTCTCCAGAATTTCCTATAGATGTTCAATATGGTTTTAGATCAGAATTCTGGCTCGGCCATTTCATAAAATAATTCCTTCCTGCTGAAACTAGTCGTTTACAAGCCGCGAAGTATGTTTGTCCTGTTGAAAAAGAAAGTTGGAAGGCATCAAATGGAGGGCATTCAACTGGAGGGAAGTTTATTTTTCGATAAAATGCCCAAGCAAGCACGTTTGTCTATAATTCCATCAGTGCATTTTAATGGGATCATTCCGCAAGCTGAAAAACCGCTCCATACAAGATCATTACCACTGTCATGCTTCAAAGTCGGAATTACGTATCCTTCAAAGCCCAAGACCTAAAAAGCACGTAATAATCATTAGACAGAACTGCTAAACTTTTTGAAAACTATTATTTTTAATGCATTTATCTATAAAGCTAGAGGACATAAATTTGGAAACTTTCATAAAAATCTCAAGTATATTACTTTTTGTTCTATTTTTATCTTTTTAAACCTCTACTAATTATTTTAACTTTTTTTTTATAGATGGGCAGCAAGAAAGAGACTTCAACAGAGAAACGCAAAGATGTTGTATGGATGCACCAAAATAGGCAGAAGCAGACATTTATCGTTCGATCTCTTGGTCTTTCAAAGAGTACTGTATCAAAAATTTTAAAAAGATACGCTCGAACTGGAACAGCAAATGCTTATAAGCATACGGGAAAACACAGAAAAACGACAAAACGAGATGGTTTGCAGATGAAAACTCTTTCAAAGGCTGACCCAAAGAAGTCATCGGTCGAGATTCACGCCGATTTGCCTGACAAAGTCAAAAAGGAAATTAGTTCAAAGACAGTACAACGTCGTTTACGCGGATTTGGATTGTTTGGTCGACGTCCTGCTCATAAGCCGCTGATCTCTGCAAAGAATCGCAAGCTTCGGGTCAAATTCACAGAAGAGCATCGATCTTGGACGGCTCAACAATGGTCTATTTGCCTCTCTATCTTTCTATCTTTTCGTCTATCTTTTCGGACGAAAGTAAGTCCGAATTGTTTGAATCTGATGGCATTCGATATGTTCGTCGTCATATCAACAAAGGGTTCAGTAAAGGATACGTAATTCCGACTTTGAAGCATGACAGTGGTAATGGTCTTGTATGGAGAGGCTTTTCAGCTTGCGGAATGATCCCATTAAAATGCACTGATGGAATTATAGACAAACGTGCTTGCTTGGGCATTTTATCGAAACATAAACTTCCCTCCAGTTGAATGCTCTCCATTTGATGCCTTCCAACTTTCTTTTTCAACAGGACAAACATACTTCGCGGCTTGTAAAGGACTAGTTTCAGCAGGAAGGAATTATTTTATGAAATGGCCGAGCCAGAATTCGGATCTAAAACCATATTGAACATCTATAGGAAATTCCGGAGAGAGCCTGTCAGGCGTTCAAAGCCATAATCTTAATGAAAAATTCGAGCTTTTGGCTAAGAAATGGATGGAAATTCCAACAACAGCCATCGACAACTTGGTCGCTTCGATGAGCGCTCGGTGCCAGACTATTATTGATTCTAAAGGATCTTCCACAAAGTATTGAATTGATTTATTTGTTTTCGTTTTAATTTAGAAGTTTAATGGTTTGTTACGTCATTATTTAGAGTTGTTTTTAAAAGTTTCCAAATTTATGTCCTCTAGGTTTATAGGCATTAAAAATAATAGTTTTCAAAAAGTTCAGCAGTTCTGTCTATGGATTATTACGTGCTTTTTAGGTCTACATATTTTCGCTAGTAAACATACCGAATCAGATTCTACTAAGATATTTTTTTTAGAAAAAACAAAAGTTTCCAAAATTATGTCCGCTACTGTAGATCAAAATCGAGATCGAGATCAAAATCTTATCTCAAATCCTCAGTCCTCAATCTCTTCGGTCATTCTCCCAAACAAGTGTTCCGTCTATCAGAAATCAGGTTCTTGTTAAGCTTTTCTTTCTCGGGATGATTGATAGTGTTGGGAGTGAAAAAAGTCAAGAAATCCATCCAAATTTTTTGATGACAATGTGGGGAAAGGGGAAAAAGCGCTTGAAGCCGAAAGCCAAAAAAAGATGTCATTACGTTGAGACGAAAATTTATGGGTTTAATTTGGAGAGTGAGTGCCTTTTCTCCGCCTCTTCTCTTCCGCCTTTCTAATCAAAGCCATCAAAGCCATCAATTTCAAATCAAATCCACTTTTCAGTCGATTTAGATATGAGGCGGATTTTTTAAGCGCTAATTTTGTGCTTTACTCAAGAAAAAAAAATTTCTTGATCGCAAAAAGCGGGCTGAGTGAAAATCCTGTGTTTTGGTGGGGTTTTTAGGGAAACCGAATAGCTTAGAGTTCAAGCTGGAAAGCAGTTGGGTAACTCTGAAATTTTGAGACAATTTTGAGACAATTTTGTAGCAATGTTTTCGTGGCCGAGTGGTAAGTGGCGCTGGCAGGCTAGCGCTCACGCTGGCTAGCGCTGATGACCCTGGTTCGATGCCGGGAGCGACTTTCTTTGGGCTTACCTTTTTTAATTGTTTCTTCAGCGGCTCGCAAGAGTCGGGCCACACATTTCGCGTGATCAGGAACTAAGAGCTTTAATGATTTTTGGCTTTATTTTTTTTGCTTACCGTCTTTAGCAATTTTCGAGCAATTCTGATGAATTTCTCTTTCGAAATGATTCACGTCATTGATGCTGAAACTGTTTTTTTTTCACCAAAAACAAGAGAGAAACAAAAACTAAAGATATTGAAGAGAGATTTACTGTTTCTGTGCGACAGCGGCAAAGAGACCAGACATCGCTTGCGAGATCCATCGATCGAAAAGGTCTTGGGTGCCTGGAATTTGGTTAATCTTTAAGAAATGAGGAAACTAAATGAATATTTAGTTATTATGGATGTCACAGTAGACTTTGCAAATGAAAAAATTGGTTGGATGCTAGTTTTTCTGATTCACGTGTCTCGTTCAATTCCGTTCGTGTCAGCAGCAGTAAGGATGGCCTTGAATGTCATAGGCTCGGTTCGTGTCATCGAGTGGACCCTCGTAGCTTTCGGAGACTGGATAGTCGAGATGGGTGGACCTTTCTTGAAGAGGCCAGCTAATTTGTCAGTGAAGCTTGGTCCTTTCTCTCCAACTTCGGATTTCTCTTCATGGACAACCATGACTGGTTCACCGGATCTTCCACTGTGGTAGACAGAGACGTGAGTGCTCAAAGGATGGCCTTCAATGTCGTAGACTCGGTTCGTGTCATCGAGTGGACCCTCGTAGCTTTCGGAGATAGTCGAGATGGGCTGGACCTTTCTTGAAGAGGCCAGCCAATTTGTCAGTGAAGCTTGGTCCCTTCTCTTTCTCTCCAACTCTGGATTTCTCTTCATGGACAACCGTGACTGGTTCATCGGATCTTCCACTGTGGTAGACAGAGACGTGAGTGCTCAAAGGGTGGCCCTGAATGTCGTAGACTCGGTTCGAGTGGACCCTCGTAGCTTTCGGAGACTGGATAGTCGAGATGTCAAAGTCAGCAAGTCACCAAATGGGAAGTTTTTTTGTGAAATCTTTTATTCTGGATGGCACACTAGCTTTTCTATTATTTATTATTTGTCAACAGTTTTTAGAAAATTATTTCCAAATTATAGATTAAGGTTTTATAAAAATCGATTAAATCAAGATTTCCCAAGAAAAAAAACATCACCAATTTGAGTGCTGATAAGTTGAAAAGCCTGTTCATTTGTGGGGGGGGATAAAGAAAAAGACAGGGGGTGAGGACGGGATTTTCCGGCTCTCTCTTGCTCGAGCTCGATCGACAGACGAGGAGAATGAAAAATGAGATACGCGAAATTTTGATGCACCTCATTAATATCTGCCAATGGGTTTTAAAGGATTGTTTTTTTGGATGGAAATTCGAAAACTTCGAAATTTCGAAAACTATGGAAGTCACAGTTTGGAAATTTCAAAAGAAAAAGCTCTGGAAATGAAAATTTTCAATTTTCAAATTTCTATGGTAGGACTTTGAGCTTTTAAATTAGTGGATTATTGAAATGTGGATTTGTTGTTTGAAGCATATGTTTTTCAGGGCATCGATTAACGCCTCAGCACCAGCGCTGAGTTTTTCCCGCTTAAAACTTCAAATTTTCAAATTCAAATTCAACTTCAAATTCAAATTCAACTTCAAATTCAAATTCAACTTCAAATTCAAATTCAACTTCAAATTTTCAAAATCATAATTTCTATGGTGGGACTTTGAGCTTTGAAATTGGTGGATTTGTTGATTTCGCGAATTATTAAGAATTTCATTCAATATTCTGGAGGTCATGTTAGATGAATTTAATGAAAAATTCGGAAACTTGAAGTTTTAAGCGGGAAAAACTCAGCGCTGGTGCTGAGCCGTTAATCGACGCCCTGAAAAACCTTGCTTTCACTCTGCTTTCACTCTGCTTTCACTCTGCATTCATTTTTCTCAAAATCTCTTTTTCGTTTTTGATTCTGGAAACGATTCTGGAAAGATTCTGGAAACGATTCTGGAAAGATTCTGGAAACGATTCTGGAAAGATTCTGGAAACGATTCTGGAAAGATTCTGGAAACGATTCTGGAAAGATTCTGGAAACGATTCTGGAAAGATTCTGGAAACGATTCTGGAAAGATTCTGGAAACGATTCTGGAAAGATTCTGGAAACGATTCTGGAAAGATTCTGGAAACGATTCTGGAAAGATTCTGGAAACGATTCTGGAAAGATTCTGGAAACGATTCTGGAAAGCTTCTGGAAACGATTCTGGAAAGATTCTGGAAACGATTCTGGAAAGCTTCTGGAAACGATTCTGGAAACGATTCTGGAAACGATTCTGGAAACGATTCTGGATTCTAGAATTCTAGAAAAAAAGAAAATTAGTGAATTTGGAGTTTCAAATCGTTTTTTAGCTTTTCAGCTTTTGTTAGCTTTTCAGTTTTCCCACTTTTCAGCTTTCCCACTCAAGAACTCAAAAATTAGCCAAAATTGACAGAATTGGCAGAATTGAAGAAGAGAGAAAAAAAAGACGTTGAAGGACTTCAAAGGGATGCCGACAAAAACAACCAAAACAGGACAGAATTGGAGAAGAAAATTTGAGTTTTTTTGGAGGAGATCGAGGGGGAAATTCGACTTTAAGCAATTTTCTGGAAACTTTGAATGAAAGAGAATTGTTTTGTTGATGTTTTTAGGCAAATTGGAGGTCATTATGGATTTTATGGGTGTTAGTTTTTCGATTGAATAACTTTTTTGGGGTACTGTATTGCGGATCTTGACCGAGGGGTTTTCTAAGAGAATCTAAAGAGATTTATCTATTTAAAACATTTTTTTGGGTAAGCTGGATGTCAGTACAGATTTTAGAGTAGTTAGTTTTTCGATTGAATAACTTTTTTGGGGTACTGTATTGCGGATCTTGACCGAGGGGTTTTCTAAGAAAATCTAAAGACATTTATCTATTTAAAACTTTTTTTTGGGCAAGCTGGATGTCAGTATAGGCTTTAGAGAAGTTAGTTTTTCGATTGAATAACTTTTTTGGGGTACTGTATTGCGGATCTTGACCGAGGGGTTTTCTAAGAAAATCTAAAGACATTTATCTATTTAAAACTTTTTTTTGGGCAAGCTGGATGTCAGTATAGGCTTTAGAGAAGTTAGTTTTTCGATTTGAATAAATTCAGGGTACTGTAATTTGGAGACACTTCAATAACTGAATATCCTTTTCTCATACGATAAAAGATATTCAGTTGATAGGTTTTTAAATGTAAATTCTAAATGTAAATCGATTTCGAACGGCCACTGGGCTTTCTCACCTTTCTCGCCGAGTTGAATGACGGTAGCGGCGCCGTTTTTGTACGTCGAGGTACCCTGGGGTAGCTGATAGGAGTCGTGATCCAATGCTAATCCTGAAATGTGAATCTTCTAGATCTTCTAGACTGACATCCAGGATGAACAAAAAAATTCTTTTAAACCTTTAGTTTCCAAGAGAAAACTCAGAACAATCGAGGGAAACTTTCTGAAAAAATCCCGAAAATCTCAAACCTTCTCCAGATCGTAAAATTGCTATTAGAAATAGTAGTGTGCATTCCAAAATGCCCATTGTCGAGTTTTCGAGTGCCGTGGGGTTTTTGCTTTTGTGTCCGGGTTGTTGAACTCTGACGCGGCACTTCCGCAGCACTTGTCGTTTATGGATGAAGTGCGAGTGATCAAAATCCGCTCAATGCTCACCACGACAAAGGATAACCGCGATTTTTGTGGGATTTTTGATATCCTTTTGCGGATTTTGACAGGGTGAAGGGGATTTCGGAGTGGGCGTGGTTTGTTGCTCGGTCTTTGCACTAAAGCTCATTTCACTTTTCCTCCGTTTCTCTCCAATTCTTTCCAAAGTTTTGCCTAGATTGCCAAAATTGCCTAAATTTTTTGGCTTTTCTTTCTTAATTGGAACGCATTTCAATGCGAAATTTCGATTTTAACCGATTTGACGTTGATTGACGTGAACGCGAGGATTTGAAAGCGATCGGGCAAAGATTGAGCAAAAACGATGAAAGGGTGATCGATGATGGAATGCACGACGGGCTTTAGCCTGTTCATTGGAGTCCTATGTAGTGATTCTTCACTCAGGTGTACTGTACTTTGGTACTATGGCGGAGACGAGTTTCAAAAAAAAAAAAGACAGATAGCCGCAAAAGTTCACTCAAATCTTTTTTCGTGTCATCCAGCTTGGCGATTGGTTTTGTGAAAAAGTGATGAAAAATCACAGAAACTAGGGAAATCCCATCGATGCACTCACTCATCGACACACGCCTCACTGGGCACGGTTCAACGCGCTGATTGAGGGGGAAACGCTAAGTTGGCATCCAGATCGACTTGTCCAGCTTTTAGACACGCCGTTTTTACGATGGGATTTTTTGCGACGGATTTCGAGCCCGCTTTCACCACATTAGCCCATGCACCTATTGAAATGAATGGAGTGATTGGGAGAAGGAGGGGAATCGGGGGAAAAGCTAGCATGCGTTCCTGCGTTCCATATGGGGGTTTTGAAAGAAAATCTGAATTGGAAAGGCAGGCTTGGGATTGGAAAAAGTTTGTCTGTCTGTTTGTCTGTCTGTTTGTCTGTCTGTTTGTCTGTCTGTTTGTCTGTCTGTTTGTCTGTCTGTTTGTCTGTCTGTTTGTCTGTCTGTTTGTCTGTCTGTCTTTCTGTTTGTCTGTCTGTTTGTTTGTCTGTCTGTTTGCCTGTCTGTTTGTTTGTCTGTTTGTCTGTCTGTCTGTTTGTCTGTCTGTCTGTTTGTTTGTCTGTATGTTTGTCTGTCTGTTTGTCTGTCTGTCTGTCTGTCTGTTTGGGCGGAAATCGGGGAAAAGCTAGCATGCGTTCCAGATGGGGGTTTTGAAAGAAAATCTGAATTGGAAAGGCAGGCTTGGGATTGGAAAAAGCGTCAAAGTCAAAAAGGGTCAAAAGTTTCGGAAAACTTGCGTTTAAAACTACATTTTTTTTTGCGTACAAACTACAGTTTCCATTTTCTTATTTTCAACGAGTTTCTAGTTTTTTAGGCGACTCATTTTGACAAAAAACAACAATCATTTAAGCAATTTGTCAAAGGGATTTTGAAACTCATTTGTCAAAGGGATTTTTTTGGCAGAATATGATAAATTTTAGAGAATTACCAATTTTTAAGTAGCAATTTTAAATGCTTTAGAGATTGTTGAAGAAACATCAGAATCGTTTAATCAAGATTTTTTGAGTCCTGATAAATTTAAAAAAAATGTGTTGCTGAAAGATACGAAACGATTCAAAGGAGTCCACGATTTGAGATCTATCATTTTTGTTCTTAAGAGCAACCGTGCATATTGAAAAAAATAGTTTTCATTAAATCTGAAAATCTCGTCATCAATGAATGGTGACATTGAAGGAAGATTCAACTATAAATATTGTATAAAAGAGCAGTGTTTGTCTGTCTGTTTGTCTGTCTGTCTGTTTGCTTGTCTGTCTGCCTGACTGACTGTCTGTCTGTTTGTCTGTCTGTCTGTCTGTTTGTCTGTCTGTTTGCTTGTCTGTCTGTCTGTCTGTCTGTCTGTCAGTTTGCTTGTCTGTCTGTCTGTCTGTCTGTCTGTCTGTCTGTTTGCTTGTCTGTCTGTCTGTCTGTCTGTCTGTCTGTCTGTCTGTTTGTCTGTCTGTCTGTCTGTCTGTCTGTCTGTCTGTCTGTCTGTCTGTCTGTCAGTTTGCTTGTCTGTCTGTCTGTCTGTCTGTCTGTCTGTCTGTCTGTCTGTCTGTCTGTTTGCTTGTCTGTCTGTCTGTCTGTCTGTCTGTCTGTCTGTCTGTTTGTCTGTCTGTCTGTCTGTTTGTCTGTCTGTTTGCTTGTCTGTCTGTCTGTCTGTCCTGTCTGTCAGTTTGCTTGTCTGTCTGTCTGTCTGTCTGTCTGTCTGTCTGTTTGCTTGTCTGTCTGTCTGTCTGTCTGTCTGTCTGTCTGTCTGTCTGTCTGTCTGTCTGTCTGTCTGTCTGTCTGTCTGTCTGTCTGTCTGTCAGTTTGTTTGTCCTGTCTGTCTGTCTGTCTGTCTGTCTGTCTGTCTGTCTGTCTGTCTGTCTGTTTGCTTGTCTGTCTGTCTGTCTGTCTGTCTGTCTGTCTGTCTGTCTGTCTGTCAGTTTGCTTGTCTGTCTGTCTGTCTGTCTGTCTGTCTGTCTGTCTGTCTGTCTGTCTGTTTGCTTGTCTGTCTGTCTGTCTGTCTGTCTGTCTGTCTGTCTGTCAGTTTGCTTGTCTGTCTGTCTGTCTGTCTGTCTGTCTGTCTGTCTGTCTGTCTGTCTGTCTGTCTGTCTGTCTGTCTGTCTGTCTGTCTGTCTGTCTGTCTGTCTGTTTGCTTGTCTGTCTGTCTGTCTGTCTGTCTGTCTGTCTGTCTGTCTGTCTGTTTGCTTGTCTGTCTGCCTGACTGACTGTCTGTCTGTTTGTCTGTCTGTCTGTCTGTTTGTCTGTCTGTTTGCTTGTCTGTCTGTCTGTCTGTCTGTCTGTCAGTTTGCTTGTCTGTCTGTCTGTCTGTCTGTCTGTCTGTCTGTTTGCTTGCTTGTCTGTCTGTCTGTCTGTCTGTCTGTCTGTCTGTCTGTCTGTCTGTCTGTCTGTCTGTCTGTCTGTCTGTCTGTCAGTTTGCTTGTCTGTCTGTCTGTCTGTCTGTCTGTCTGTCTGTCTGTCTGTCTGTCTGTTTGCTTGTCTGTCTGTCTGTCTGTCTGTCTGTCTGTCTGTCTGTCTGTCTGTTTGCTTGTCTGTCTGTCTGTCTGTCTGTCTGTCTGTTTGCTTGTCTGTCTGTCTGTCTGTCTGTCTGTCTGTCTGTCTGTCTGTCTGTCTGTCTGTTTGCTTGTCTGTCTGCCTGACTGACTGTCTGTCTGTTTGTCTGTCTGTCTGTCTGTTTGTCTGTCTGTTTGCTTGTCTGTCTGTCTGTCTGTCTGTCTGTCAGTTTGCTTGTCTGTCTGTCTGTCTGTCTGTCTGTCTGTCTGTCTGTCTGTCTGTCTGTCTGTCAGTTTGCTTGTCTGTCTGTCTGTCTGTCTGTCTGTCTGTCTGTCTGTCTGTCTGTCTGTCTGTCTGTCTGTCTGTCTGTCTGTCTGTCTGTCTGTCTGTCTGTCTGTCTGTCTGTCTGTCTGTCTGTCAGTTTGCTTGTCTGTCTGTCTGTCTGTCTGTCTGTCTGTCTGTCTGTCTGTCTGTTTGCTTGTCTGTCTGTCTGTCTGTCTGTCTGTCTGTCTGTCTGTCTGTCTGTCAGTTTGCTTGTCTGTCTGTCTGTCTGTCTGTCTGTCTGTTTGCTTGTCCTGTCTGTCTGTCTGTCTGTCTGTCTGTCTGTCTGTCTGTCTGTCTGTCTGTCAGTTTGCTTGTCTGTCTGTCTGTCTGTCTGTTTGTCTAGTATCTCTTATATATTTGATGTTTAGATCATTTGGAGTGACGAAAAGAAGTACAACGTTGATGGTGCTGATGTTTTTGGAGGATATTGGAAGGATTCACGAAAGCCGGGCATGGTCTTCAGCACGAGGCACTTTGGAGGTGGATCATGTATGGTATGGGGAGCCTTTCGAGACGGCGAACTGGTCGGCTTAGAGTTTATTTCGACCCGGATGACGCTTGACTATCAACAAGTGTTGGACAAACATCTAGCCGTCTATCTGAACAACAATCCGGGCAATAACTTTACTTTTCTGCACGATAACGCGAGTATTCATGCAAGTTGCTCCACAAAAGTTTGGTTGACAGCGCACAAAATTGGCACTGTCACTTGGCCCGCTTGCAGCCCAGACTTGAACCCGATTGAGAATGTGTGGGGGACACTTGTTCGAGATCTCTACAAGGGAAACAAGCAATATTCGAGCGTGAGTGAACTCAAGAAAGCCATACAAGTAGCCTGGAATCGGCTCCAGCCAACAGCGCTCCATGACCTTGTCTCTTCGATGCCGAGACGTCTTTTTGAAGTTGGACTAAAGCAACGAGGGGCCACACATTATTAATTTATTTGGTTTGTGTTGTTATTTTTATTTCTGTTAACTTTTTCTTGATAAAATAAAAGTGCGTCTATAATTTTTTGGCAGCTGATAAAACGTTTTTTTGTACGATAAAATACTTTGGATGAGTGAAATGACTTGAAATTTTGCATGGGTTGTTTTTTTACATTAAAGAAACTAAAAAATACTTTTCACTGGACTAGCACTTATATCCGGCTCTAAACTAGCAAAAAACAGGGTGCGTCTATAATTTTTTGACAGAGTGTATTACAGAGTGCTAATGATTTCGGTGTCAATTTTGGAACTTGGGATTCGGTGGATTTTGAAGAGATTTTGAAGACAATAGTCACCATCACTTCTCCATCATCATTTGATCAAAGGATTCGATCTTTCTTTCCGCTCTTCCCGCTCTTCCTGCTCTTCTTGCTCCTCTTGCTCTTCCTGCTCTTCCTGCTCTTTCTAACATCCTTCTTTCATTAAAACAAGAAATTTTTGTGCGCTTTTGAGAGCTTTTTGTGCTGCAGAGTGCAAAACAAAGCGCCACCAAAAGTCAATGACTAAAGCGGCTTTTGGCAAAGATTTTTCACATTTATCATCCACTTGTCCTCCATTTTTCTCAATCATCAATGTCAGCA